CACCTCAATGCCACCTTCCCAGTCTTTGGCTTTTCCCCTCCACCTTTTCCCCCTGAGTTCTGTGTATTTCTTAAAGCTATCTAAGTGAGAGTTGGAACCTATACCCCATGAATCAGGTAGAAGTGGGTTTGAATCCTGGCTCACACGGGCTCTCGCTGGCTCTCGCTGTGGGCAAGCTTTCTCTTCAACTCTGTAAATGGAAATACTGTCCGTGTATCAACCTGGCTTCAGTTTAACTGTGTGTGTGTGTGTGTGTGTGTGTGTGTGTGTGTGTGTGTAAGAAAATGCAAATTTTTCTTCTTGACTTAGACCAGATAGAACATTTCTCTTTTAAATAAAAGGAGTCAAGTAAGGCAGGCCAGGATGGTCAGGGAACTTCTTAACCCAAGGACTCACGCTCTTTTTATTTTGCTGTCTGTAGCTTCTACTCGCCAGGATGGCTGCTTGGTCTCCTGACATGATCTTTGCATTCCAGCCATCTGAAAGGAGGAAGGTGGAAGAAAAGGCATGCCTCTAATTTTAAGGATATTTCTTGAAGTTCTACACACTTCTTCCCAATCTCTTTAGCTAGAACTTAGTTTTTGGCTATGCTTAGCATCGAGAGAAAGTTGATGGAAATGGAATCTTAATGCAGATGGCCAGGTGCATGGTAGATAATTGAGGTGCTTTATTCTGGAAGAAAGAACTGGTAATTTCATTTCATAAAAATAACCACTTTGTAGGATTGTCTTCAGGATCAAATGAGCCAATGCATGAAAACGATGCTAGTCTGACGGCTGGGTAATAAGACAGCAGCCGTTTACTTCTGTTACTGTTACAAGCAAATACAGCCCAGCCTGGGCCTCCCCCAAGAGCCTTTCTTAATCTTTATTCCAAGTATTCTTTCTTTGTTCTGATTTTATTTATTTGGCACTTGCCACTTTGTTTATTCTGCTTCAGTTAGTTGTTTTCAGTTGTAGGAAAATTCATTTCGAATAGGCAGACGTGATTATTGACTCATTTAACTGAAAAAAAAAAAAAGTCAGTGGTAGGACAGGCTTCAGAGATAGTTTGATCAGGGCCCTGTTTTTCTAATTCTCTGTGTCAACTTTCTCCTAAGGCTACTCTCCCTTATTGTTGTTACAGGAGAGCAAGCAGTGCCTGGGTTACATATTTCCTTGCTTATATCAAGGGAATCTTTAAACATGCAGTCCCTGTGCTGATAGGACATCCCCCAACTAATCACAATGGGCAAGAAAAACACACAGTGAGTGGACAGGATCTTACTCATCTGAAGTAGCAAGAGTCATGACATGACCTGTTCTGAGGTGGAGGCAGAGCTGGTCTTACTGGAACCACAAGGCTGCTCTGTGTGGGGAGGATTTTCCAAAGAAAAATCAGAGGGGCAGTGGATGTTGAGTGGGGAAACAATGCAAGTTCAGTTATACAAGCCTACTGAAACATAAACCTCTGGGTATCATATGGCTTCTTTTCTTTTCCTTTTGCTTGCTTCCTTTCTTCCTTCCTTTTCCTCTTCTCCCTTTTTCTTTCTTTTCTTCCTTTCTTTCCTTCTCTCCTACCTTTTCTTGCTTCCTTCATTTCTTTTTCCTTTTTCTCTCTCCCCCTGGCTCTCTTTTTTCTTTCCTTCATGCTGAGGCTCCAACTCAGGGCCTCATGCATGACAAGCAAGCACTTTACCACTAAGCTATACTCTCAGCCCCAAAATGGTTTTTTGTCCACAGCACCTAGCACAGTATATTGTCTATATGCACAATTTAGGGCTGAATAGAGTGGCTAACACATGGCTGGGGAGGAAGCAATCTCAAATGGTATCTGCCAGTCAGTAAACACTGGTATCAGATCCTTTTCTGTCTTGGTGGCATAAAGTGCTGGGGGACAAAGAGCAGGAGGGAGGTTAAGTGTCAGCTCATTAAGGGCCAAGGAGGGGCTTTGCCCAGCCCAGTGGCTCTGCTTCTGAACGAACATGGGAGAAGCTAAGTTCCCAAGAAAACAACTTGAGGAAGACACATACTCTAGGCACTCCCATCCGCTCAGCCCCGTGGTCGGTAGTACTGGTGGGTTTTTGTTGCTTTGAACGTTACGAGTGTAAATATAATGGAGCCTTGTTGCTAAGTATGTCGTGATTCCAAGCTGCCCTTTTAGCTTCTATTCACAGAAAAGGTCTCGGATCTCTCCAGGGGAGGGAGCTTCCTGAGGTCTCTGATGCTCTCAAGTTGTTCTGCCAGAGCACATTGCCTGGCTTTGAGTGGAAATCTGCTCCACTGATATGGAGCTCCATTCTCCTCTTCTGATTTCCCACCTTCCCCGACACCTAGGCATACAGGTTCTCTTGTTAGGAAGGCATGTGTTTCACTCCAGCGGGAAATACTAAGTTAATTACATTATCTAAATCAAATTCAGCCTTCTTGGAAACACTGACTCCCACATCCGGACAATTTGTCAAGAGGTTTGATTCATCATCATAACTGCTGGCCCATCCCCAACTTCCTACAAGACTGAGGCAAAGGATAGCCACTGGGGCAATCTGTACCCTTCCTCACCATTTAAGAGTTGACCGTTATGATGCAGCTGCCTTTCCCATGCAAGTAACAGAACTGCTAGCATTTTGGTCACCTCACACTTCACACTTTCAGTGTCTGTGTCCCCAGCGCTCTGCCCTCTTTCTTGAGCTCCTGAGGTGCCCTTTCCACAAACCTTGTGTCTCCAACCTCAGATGCTCTATCCTTTTAGAGTCGTGAGCTTGAATCTCCACTTAGATGTCCCCATGAAAATGCCACATTGCCTCCCTACACTTGAGCCAGGTCCTCTCTGCATCCACTATCTCCCCCAATCCCACCGACCAAGTTATTCCAAGAAAGTCCTCCTCAGACCCCATGTGTCCCAGACTTCCACCACTTCTACACCACCTGGGCCTCCCATCAGCCTCTCACTGTTCCTCACCAGAACTCCTAACCAGCTTCTGATTGGCAGGCAGCACCAACAAGAAGAGGCAGGTCACCTGGGCCACCATCATCAAACATCCCACAGCATCTATGTGGAAGCACAGGTTGTGAGCCTTAAGGCCTGGTGCCCTTCCCACCTTGTTGCACTGGGGTATGTTCCTGTGCCCTGCCCTTGTGGCCTTCCACCAGGTCGGTATCTGAACCCTTTCTATGAGACCCCTCCCCAGCACATGCTACCCCTGGTTTCTGGGTTCTGCACTGCTGCCTCCCCAAATCTGGTTCCTCATCGGGAGCCTTGCCTGGGTTCTTATTACCTGGTCTCCAGCCTCCCCATCCCGGTAAGAGGCCCGGCTCTCGGGATCGCACGTGAGGTACCACCCCACAACCCCGCCACAGCGTATCTGGGCCCAATTTCTTGCAGCTGCAACATCCCAGTCCCCAGACCACACTCCTGCACGTGAGTTTGCGGGTCCTTCGATGCTTGAATGTGCTCTGGAACATAGCCGCTCTGCTCCGTGAACTCAGGGTGCAAGCCAGATGGCGAAGCGGAGGAGGAGCACTTGCCGGGGTTGCACCCAGGCTTCTCAGTTCCGACGGTGTGCAACCGCCAGAAGCGTATTAAGCAGCCCAATGCTTTACCTTTTCTACCCTTTGTTCAACCGCATTTTTTTTTCTTTTATTATTCATATGTGCATACAAGGCTTGGTTCATTTCTCCCCCCTGCCCCCACCCCCTCCCTTACCACCCACTCCACCCCCTCCCGCTCCCCCCCCTCAATACCCAGCAGAAACTATTTTGCCCTTATCTCTAATTTTGTTGTAGAGACAGTATAAGCATTAATAAGAAGGAACAAGGGGTTTTGCTGGTTGAGATAAGGATAGCAATACAGGGCATTGACTCACATTGATTTCCTGTGCGTGGGTGTTACCTTCTAGGTTAATTCTTTTTGATCTCACCTTTTCTCTAGTACCTGTTCCCCTTTTCCTATTGGCCTCAGTTGCTTTTAAGGTATCTGCTTTAGTTTCTCTGCATTAAGGGCAACAAATGCTAGCTAGTTTTTTAGGTGTCTTACCTATCCTCACCCCTCCCTTGTGTGCTCTCGCGTTTATCATGTGCTCATAGTCCAATCCCCTTGTTGTGTTTGCCCTTGATCTAATGTCCACATATGAGGGAGAACATACGATTTTTGGTCTTTTGGGCCAGGCTAACCTCACTCAGAATGATGTTCTCCAGTTCCATCCATTTACCAGCGAATGATAACATTTCATTCTTCTTCATGGCTGCATAAAATTCCATTGTGTATAGATACCACATTTTCTTAATCCATTCGTCTGTGCTGGGGCATCTTGGCTGTTTCCATAACTTGGCTATTGTGAATAGTGCCGCAATAAACATGGATGTGCAGGTGCCTCTGGAGTAACAGTCTTTTGGGTATATCCCCAAGAGTGGTATTGCTGGATCAAATGGTAGATCGATGTCCAGCTTTTTAAGTAGCCTCCAAATTTTTTTCCAGAGTGGTTGTACTAGTTTACATTCCCACCAACAGTGTCAACCGCATTTTTTGCAACGTCAAGCACAGGCGCCAATGGGGAGCAGCAACTGGAGAAGACCAAGTGTCCTTGCAAAGCCCCGCCCACACGTGCAGATTTGCACCCCAGGGGGTGAGGGTCACGGGCGCGGGGCGTGGAGGATCTCCAGGTTTTATGGTGGCGGGCAGGAAAACGCCCTTTATGGCTTCTGCCACCTGCCTCTCCGTGACACTTAGATAAACGAGAATTTCTGGGGGGCTTCTCCATGGGCTGCGTTGGAAGGTTTTTCGCACACAAGAAAAGTGGACCCTTGGTCCCCCAACCCCAGGCGGAAAAGGGCCGGGCAGAAGTGAAACTCCATGCGTCAGCGCGTCCTGAGAGAGCGGGCCAGCCCGCGTGAGGCACCGCCTCCGGGCCGCGGATCCGAGTCACTGGCGACCCAGGGAGGCGCCGTCGGGGCGGAGTCGCCGCACGCCGGCCTCGCTCACTTCCCGGGCTCTACCGGCCTAGACTGCGCAGCGGGCAGGCGTGGGCCATGGCTAGCCGGGTGGCAGAGCTGGGGACCGAGCTCCTGTCCTTCGAGCGGTTCCGAGAAGCGAGCGCACCGCGCCTCGCCTACGGCTACGGCCCGCGTAACCTGCGCGAACTGCGGGAGAGCGAGTTTGGTCGCCTGGCAGGTGAGGCGGGCGGACAGGCGTGGGGGACACGGGTTTTGGGAGCGGACGTGGAATGAACTTTGCTGCAAATGGGCGTGTTATCTCATTGAGGGCGCATTTTGACCCGAAAGACTAGGAGCGAGATGTCCACGCGTTCGCTCCGTGGACGCGGCTCCTTAGGTCCCACTGCATAGACTTTCCAGTGCGTCAGGACTAACCTGTCCACATTCGCCACCCTCTGCGAACAGGGCTTAGGATTCTCCTTGCCATCTACTGCCAAGACATCCGACTCTAAGGTCTAACTGCAGCCAAGGTTACAAAATCCAGAAATGTTCCGCGGCGGCGGTGACTACTTGGATGCCTGCTCGGGGGACAGGAGTGGTGCGTGGGCGGCCAGTGCGCAGAGTTGGAGCAGCCACTCAGCCAGCGCCGGCTAGGGCCTCCCGAGGCCGCATCCCAGGCTGGGTAGGATAGCTCACATGCAGCTTTTATTTTCGAAGCCTCATTTTTCTCGCTGTTGCAGGCAGACCAATGCACCTGAGCTCTTCTGAGCGCTAGCTCCATGGGGGAGGGAGGGACTAGAAAAGTTAGAGGAAGGCGCAATTTGGGCCCTTAGAACTGGATGAGCCTGAATTGGACACAAATACAGTTCACCCTGTGCCTTTCAGTTCTGCAAGGCTGATTGAATTGGAATCCAGCTCGATCTGACCGTGGTGGCCCCTAACTCACTGCTACAGGTTTGGGCTTGAGCCAGGGACCTTGACTGGAGGGTTTCATCTTCAGAAGTGCTTGCCGGTGATCGGGGAGAGGCAGCAGGTGAAGTGAGCAGGGGATGGTCTAGGGCACCAGAGCTTGTCTCCTCCTGATGAGCAACTGGTGACTGCTCACCTGTTTGTGGCAGAAGAGCTGCCCTATGAGGCATTCCCTCATGCTTTGAGTGATAAATTTTGTTTTTTCTCTTTGGGAGTTTTGAGAGCAGCGGCCTCCTCTTGTGGGGCTCCCGTCTCTGTTTCTCTAAGTAGGAAGAGTCAGAAGGGAGTCAGAGGGTCTTTACCTTCCTCCCTCTGTATTCTTTCCTGCTGTAGTCACCTGCTGGAGACAGCCCTGCACTCTTCTGCTTTCTCTCTATTTGTCTCTCTGTCTCTGTCCTCTACCTCTGGGTACCACAGGTGGTGAGGGAGGGAGGTTTCTCTTCATTTGAAGCAAATCCCAGAGCTGTATCATTCAGTGGGAAATTATTTCAGTGCTAGCCACACCTTCTTAATCTCCTAAATCCCCTTCAGCTGGGAGCACTCTTGCCCACCATTGGCAGATCTCTCCCTCCTCACTACCTGAAAAGTATAAGTATGTTCTGGACCTCTCTGGTTTCACTCTTGTCCCTCAGATGAAAAACTGAGACAGGACAGCTAGGACCCCCAGGTTTCAGAGCCCCTTTAACATCTGTGATGTTTGTGTAGTGTGCGGTTCCCTCTCTGCATTTTGCTGGAAGTTGACTTATGTGGCTTAAACTGACACCCTTCCCACCTCTGGGTGTATTGGAATCAGTTCACTTGCTTTGTTTTCCTCTCACAAACAAATGAGCTGGAAATCCGCCACTCAAACCAAAATAATAACCTTCTCCTCCTTTCCCCTCCCTCCTTAAACATTTTCTGCAGGTTTGAAAATTTACCTGGTTAAGTGGTGATTCTGGGTAATTAAGTGCTTAACCTTTAAGTATTGAAATGTTTTGCCTAACCAGTTGGGTGGGAATTTCCTTCTCTTTGTGAAGGTAGTATATTGACTGTATCTATGTGGGTCAAGTAGTTACTTTGTTTTGCAATAGGGTCTTGCTTTGGAGACCAGGCTGGCCTCCCAAGTGTAGGATTACACATGTGAACAGCCACACCCAGCTGTCAAGTAGTTCTTGAAGCGTTAGGATGCAGATTGATAACCACTCATCGCATTTAGAACTGAAAACTGAAGGAGCATGACCAAAAAGAGACCCTAGAATTCTCTTTCTCGACGATCTAGTGCTAGTTAGCTTTGGGATTATTTGCCTCCTTTTAATAACAACTAAACTGTGTGGTGTTTGCTGTGTGACAGGCATGGGACTAGGTACTGTCATATACCCTGTCATTTAACCCTCATCCCTTTTGCAGATGTAGGAATAGGGACCCAGAATGGCCAGTGAAGCCAAAATTGAATCCAGGTGGTTGGCTTGAATTCTGCACTGCTAACCATTAGGCTGCCTGACTCCCCTAAAGTCAGATCTCCGGATAATCTAACACAGCTTCTTTCTCTCCCCCTCCCCCCCACCCACCACAATTAATCGTTGGACCAAAGGCCAAAGCAGACTTTCTCCGAATGGCTTCCTGGCCCTGTAGAGGACTCTGAGCAAGGTGCACGGTGCGACCTCGGCAGCCAGTCAGGTCTCACCTGTGCATGGGGCTGCACCTGGGTGAGCATCGCAGGGCCTTGATGACTGGATACTTTCTTTTGGTTGGGTAACTTTATATTTCAGAATCTTCAGTAAAAGAACATTATTTTAAAACATTTGGGGAAGACTAGATGATGCATTTTTTGGGGTGGTACTGGCATTTGAACTCAGGACTGAGTAGTAGAGGGCTGGGTAGGCCCTCTACCACTTGAGCCACTCTGCTAGCCCTTTCTGTGTTGGGTATTTTCAAGATAGGGTCTTATAAACGATTTGCCCAGGGTAACTTCAAACCGCGATTCTCCTGATCTCTGCCTCTTGAGTAGCTAGGACTACAGGGGTGAACCACCGGCACCCAGTTAGGTGATGCATTTTAATGGTATCACATTCAAAAGGAGCTAAATGAATCTGGGCGCCTGGTGGCTTACTCATGTAATCCTAGCTACTTGGTAGACTGAGATTGAGTAGATCTTGGTTTGAGGCCAGCTGGAGCAAATGGTTCTGGAGACCTCATCTCCAAATTAACCAGAGCAAAATGAACTGGAGGCGTGGCTCAAAGAGGTGGAGGCCTGCTGTGCAAATGCAAATTCCTGAGTTCAAACTTCAGTCCCACCAAGAAAAAAAAAAAATTGCCCATGAAATTGAAGAGTGGCCAGAGTGCCTCTCCCCTCTCCAGCTTCAGTCGTCATGGGCCAGGTGCTGTGATTTAGTGTCCTGTGCACCTTTCCAGTGGTTGTCTGTATTTATATGTCTATGTGCACATACTTTATTTTTCCACAGAAGTCAGTCATAACATTTCTCTCCTAGACACAGTTTACGTTTATTTGCCTATGTTCTTTGTCTGCCCTAGCATGTTACATTCTTTCTATTTTGTTCATTGTGTCCCCAGAACTTAGAACAGTGTCTGGTACAAAGTAAGTACTCAATAAATATTTCTTGAGTGTAAAGACACTCAATAGACTAGAAATAAAAGAAAACTCAATTAACTTGATAAAACCATCTAATCCTTCCCCCAGCTCTGAACACACTTAATGGTGAAAGACATAAAGCTTTCCTGAGATCTAGAACAAAATGAGGATATCTGTTCTCATCCCTGCTATTCAACATGGTACTGGATGTTCTAAACCAGGGCAATGAGGCAATATAATGAAATCTAAGGCATTTGGAGTGGAAAGGAAAAGAAACATTCTATTTGCTGATAAGATGATCTTAGATGCAGGAAATCCTAAGAAATATACACATGAAATTATTGGAGCTAAAAAAACTTGCTCAGCAAACTTGTAGGCCACAAGTTCAGTGTTCAAACATCAACCCAGTTTCTAGACACTAGCAATGGGCACTATGAAAATGGAACTAGGATGACAATTCCTAAAGTATAACATGAATAAAAGAAGCCAGGTGTGGTGGTTCATGCCTGTAATCCCAGTAGCAGGGAAGCTAAAGCAGGAAAATCACAAGTTCAAGGCCATCCTTGGATACATTGTGAGGCCCTGTATCTAACTAACTAACTAACTAAATGGCCTGATGGAGTGGCTCAAGTGGTAAAGTGCCTGCTTAGCTAGCATGAGGCCCTGAGTTCAAGTTCTAGTACTACAAGAAAATCAAACAAACCCTACAACCCCTCCACAGAAAACTAGTGTTAGTAAAGGAGTAAGTATTCATAAAATAGCAAGCTTCATATGTTTTGTGTAGCACAGAATGACAGGCCTATGTGATAAGTATTAACATCTCTGAGTAAGGTTTTTCTCCTTTAGTGGTACTGGGGCTTGAACTCAGTGCTTCATGAATGTTAGGCAGGCACTCTGCTACGGTCCACACATACAGCCTTTTTTTTTGTTCTGGCTGTTTTGGAGATAGGGTTTTGCTTTTTTGCCCAGGCTGGCTGGACAGGAATCCTCCTTAAGCTTCTGCTGTCACTGGGATGTCAGGGGCATGAACACACCCAGCTTTCTTGTTTTGAGATGGGGGGTCTCACTACCTTTCCACAAATCAGTCAGATACCTAAATATCAGAGTGAAAAGTATAATACTCTTAGAAGAAAACAGAAGAAGCATAAATCATTAGGACCTTGATTTAGGGAATGATTTCTTAAGACACCAAAATACAAGCAACAGTAACATCAAGATGTACAATTGGATATCAAAATCAAAAAAACTTGTATACCATCAAGAAAGTGAAAGGGCTCCTCATTGAATGGTATAAAACATACGTCTATATGAGAACTTGTACACAATATTCTTAGAAGCGTTATTCATATTAGATAAAATTGAAGACAACTTACTGTTCACCAGCAGATAAATGGGTAAACAAAATGTGGTGTATTCATATAAAGGAATACTATTCAGCCATGAAGAGGAATGAAGTTCTGATGTATGCTATAAATCTATTGAGACAGAAAGTTAGATGAGTGCCTCCTGAAGCTGGGAGTGGGGTTGGGGTGTGATTGGAATAGGATTTCTTTGGGGATAACTATTCTGAAATTAGATAGTGATAAAGGCTGCATATCATCATAAGTATAGTAAAACCCAGTACATTATACAATTTAAGATGATGAATTTCATGAAATGTGAATTATATCTCACTAAAGATGTTAGTAACAAAAAACCCTACACATCAGAAAAAACAAATATTTGTTGAGCGAAGAAAAGAATAAATGAATTGATTTTCTGTGTATGCAATTGAAAGTGTATCTCAGAGTTCTTCCTTGTCAGTACTTAACAAAGTTCTAGATGGGAGGTAACAATTCTTTATTTTAAATCTGTGTTGATGGACATTTAAGTTGTTGTCAATCCTTTGCTATTGTAGACAGTGTTGCACTGAACATTATATCACAAAAGCGTAGGTATTTATAAGTACCCAGAAGAGGAACTGCTAGGTCAAAGAGTGCCTGTATTTCAAAGTGTGACCGATATTGCCAAATCGCTATTGCATAAAGAAGTTGTGCCAGTTCACCCAGCTGTCAGCCATGTGCCAGCAGCTCGTTGCCCCATCCCCACGCCCCCACAGTGAGGCATCTGCCAGTCTGATTGGCCAACCACGGGCAGGGCGGATATCTCATGCTCATCTAAGTTTGCCTTTCTCTCTTCAGGAGATGACCGGAAGAGTCATTTCCATCCCTCATCGTCTCTAAGGCTCTGCAGCTGCAGTAGGCTTGAGGGCTGGGTTGCAGCGTGGGGGGAGCAGAATCAGGGTACCCCATCTGGGAAGCGCACAGACCCTCCAGAACAGGGCATGAGTCATAGAGTGAAATATTTTTGACTACAAATGTCTGCTGGGCGACTCCTCTGTGTTAGATGTGGTTCCAGGTTCATAAGAGAGCTGGCCACTCAGGAAGGTTCTCTGAGCCCCAGAGGTCACTAAATAGTAGAAGTCCTTCCGTTGCTCTTGTCCACAGTAAGAGGGTCAGAAAGTCAGCAGCCTGGTGTAACGCTAAACGTACTGAATGGGCCTGGTGTGGCTTACTCACGCAAAACCTGATTTAGGTAAAATGACCCAAAGACCTATGAAAACCAACCTGCACCTTCATTTTGTGCTTTTGTTTTCCCCAGGAACTGTTTACCTTGACCATGCAGGAGCCACCTTGTTTCCCCAGAGCCAGCTCACAAGCTTCACTAAAGATCTCATGGAAAATGTTTATGGTAAATGAAAGTACTCCCACACTGATTTTAGTCAACTGTGTGCAGATGACAAAACAGCATTTAATAATGTAGGAGTAATAAGCAGAGGCCATGCTGCTGTGGTGGTGCACACCTGTAATCCCAGCACAAGAAGCTGAGACCAGGGGATCGCAAATTCCAGGCTAACCTGGGCTATACACTGAGACCCTATCTTCAACAAAACGAAAGAAAAAGGCAGAGACCATGCTGAGCACACAAAACTGAATAAACCCCATGTCAGATGGAGGTTAGGCAAACATCCAGGGTCATTTTGTGACACACACACATGACTGGGATGGGAAGATGGGAAGTTCTGGTTCAGGGATACACAGGTCACTTTCAGAAGAAGGGGTCAGTGTCAGGAAGGACACAGAAGTTCGAAAGTGCTGTGATTGGTGGTTGTGAGTGTACGGTGTAGGGTGACTGTACGGTGTAGGGTGACTGTACAGTGTAGGGATGGGGCAGTAGGAAGAACATTCATCCTTTCACTCCTCACATATTTATTGGGTCTCTATTGGGATATGATGATACAATGGTAATAAAATGAATGCAGTCCCTTCTTCATGGAGACTTTGGCTTAGTCTTGGAAGACAGGACCTTAATCAAATGATCTACAAATAAATGTAATTACCAACTGTGTGAAGAGCTGTGAACAAAGCTGCCTGGCACCATGGGTCTCTATCTGAAGAGTGACAGTGGACTGGCAGTGTGAGTGTAAGTGAAGTCTTTTATGGGAGCGGAGGGGATGCTGGAGGATAAGCCAGAATTCACTCGGACAAGTGGAGAAGAAGAGCTGCCAGGCCTAAGCCAAGATCCAGTAGGGGTTTCAGGAAGCAGTGCAGGGCCTCGAGGGGAGGAGAAGATGCAGGGTCTACCTGGAGAGGGAGGAGGGGCCAGCCTGTGCAGGGCATCAGAAGAGCTCGATCAGGATTCTGGGAACAGTGGGCATTTGTTGGGGCCTTCAGCAGCAGTGCAATATGCTCAGGAGATAACTTGGGAAGGAGAGTTTGAAATTATAGTAGTGATGCAGTTGTAATATAACAATGATAGGAGTGCTTACTGTGTGCTGGGTACTGTCCCAGATGCTTTACATGCATTGTAGCTATTCATTCTTACAATAACCCACGAGCTGTAGGGTCTCTTTACCTGTGATTTGCAGGTGGGCAAATGGAGCCTTAGAGACTGTAGGTAACTAGCCTGAGGTTATATAGTTGGAAAGCACAGGAACGGGGGAGCAAGGGGAGCAGAGGGCTAAATCTCCAGGCAGTTTGGCTCTAGAGCCCAAGCCCTTGGCACCTCCCCTCCCACCCTCTCCCTTGCCCCATTCAAGACATGCCTATAATGTCACACAAAGGGGTTTGAATTTTGGCCCTAGGCAGCCAGCAGATCTTTAAATCTGGGGAAGTCCTGAGGGCAGGTGCCAACAGGGAACTTTATCTTGATTGTAATCTATGATTTGCAAAAAGACCTGAAATTCTCCTTGTGTAGCCTTTCCGAGAACCATAACCATGGGAAAGGTGTTATGTTAGCCTGAAGAGTAGAGGGCTTAAAAATGAAAGTGAGGAAAGGCAAGGAGGGCAAGGACCAAGTCCACAGTTACTAGCTAATATGTAAAAGGAATGTCTGGTAGCTGCAGAAATCCAGAGTGACACTTGAGTGTGGTTTAGGGGAAAATAATTTAATACAAAATAGGCCATGCCAGAGTTAATGTGTACATGTAGTCTTGCTCTAGAAATGTTAGTGTTCAATCCCTGCAGGCCAAGCTTTTCCAGAAATCTAGGTTCAAGTCTGAGAACTGAGTTTTGAGGGAGATCATGACACTCTAGGACACCAGAAGAGGAAAACTTGAAGCCAACAAGGGAGACCTCATGCATGAAGTAGGGCTAAGGGGACTTGTAACAGCCCTCTTCACTACTTTACTTGTTTAGAGGAAGAGGTTGGTGTGTTTTTGGAAGGACAGTACCTGCATCCCAAATGGGGAACCATTCATGGTTCCGGCTCATGGTTGAAGGAGAGGGTGCCTCCCTGAGGTCGTGTTCTTGGTTCTCTGGAGTTTAAGGACAGAGCCGCTGTAGGGGAACTTGTAGAAAAGACTCTTGGACTTCCAGCTCCAAAACCCTTTCCCAGGTCCCCTCTTGTTTTATAAGTAAGAAGAAGATTTTTGAGTTACATTTTATATGTCATAAACTTCACCTGTTTTGTGTGTACGATTCAGTGATTTTTAATACTTTTCATGAATGATACAATCATCACTATAAATTGTTTTGAATATTTTTATTGTCTCCTAAGATCCCCGATTCCTTTAATCCCTGTGGTCACCCCCAGCTCTAGGCTACCACTAACCTACTGCTTTCAGTGTCGCTGTATAATTGCCTTGCAGGACATTTCATACAAGTGGAATCATACAACACGTGGCCTCTTGTATCTTTCACTTAGCATGTGGTGGTTTGTTTTGTTTTGTTTTGTTGCAGTACTAGGGTCTTGAACTCAAGGGCTGTACCCTTTGAGCCATGTCCCCCTCCAGCCCTTTCTGCTTTACTTTATTTTTGAGGTAGTGTCCATTTTCCAGTAGTGACCCTCCTTCCTCTGCCTCCCACATAGCTGGGATTATAGCTTCCACATCTGGATTACTTTTTGAGATAGGATCTGGGCTTAACTCAAAACATGATTCTCCTATCTCTCCTCCATATAGCTGGGTTTACAGACATGTGCCACCACTTCTGGCACTTAGCATATTTTTGAAGTTTCCTCATGACGCAGCCAGTAGTTTGTTTCTTTTTGTTGCTAAATAATTGTCCATGGTGTGGATTTTTTATATTGGACTGTTCACCAGTTCATGGACATTTATGTTTCCAGAATTTGGCTTTATGAATGGAAATGCTGTGAACATCTATGTGCGAGTCTTTGTGTGGACATAAGTTTTCAATTCTCTTTGCTAGATGTCTAGGAGTAGAATTGCTGGGCCATAGGGCAGTTTTCTGTTTAGCTTTCGAGAAGAGGAGGGAGAGAATTTTGAAGGAGAGGCTTCAGTGTGACTCTAAAACTTTGTCTTTGTACACTGCCAGGCAATCCGCACAGTCAGAACATCACCAGCAGGCTCACCTATGACACCATTGAGCAGGTGCGCTGCAGGTGAGTGGCGCGATGTCTCCCTGAGCAGGTCACCTAGGCCGACAGAGTTCCTTCCTAGTGTCTGCCTGCATCCCACAAAGGTTCTGGGTGAGTTTCAGGAAGATCACATTCAGTTACAAAGCAACCATGGCGTAACACTAACCATCACTTCAGAGAAGGAAGGTGAGAGTAAGGGTAGTAGAGGGCAGACAAGAACCATAGGTAGGTGGCTCTCAGCGGGTGCTGGAGAGACAAGGAGTGATACAAGTTCCAAGGTCTTGTTTTCAGAAAGACAGAAAGCACTTTTCTTTGATTTTTCCTTTTTCATAGGATGTTTTATTCTTGTTCCTACATATCTCACTCCCCTTTCATTGTATGTTAAAAAGTTCCTTATGCTTGTCTACCTGTAATGATTTACTTTTGGTAATGACTTCCAGGTGGTGCCTAAAGTAACTTGAATTGACACAGTTTCAAATATTTTCATATTTGAAGGCGATACAGTTTTGTGATCAAGTTGCCAATATTAAAAGCAATGTGAAACCGTTTGATGTTAAAAGTCCTGATAGAACTGGGGAGGAAAACACCCAGGAAAAGGTGTTTTCAACAAACACAGAGGTCATTATAGATTTTTGTCAGGCCCAATCAGAGATGGGACTGGGGCGGTCAGATGATAGTGCCAGTTTGGACCTGATCTTATCTCATCACTTCCTCTGGCAAAGCTTGTCTGGGTGTTTTTCTAGCTATCAAAGTAGGTATTCCATGCTGGAGCCACGACCTAGACATTGGTGACACTGTGTTTTCTTTTAGGATTCTGGCTCACTTCCACACTACCCTGGAGGACTACAGTGTGATCTTCACAGCTGGGAGCACAGCTGCTCTCAGGCTTGTAGCAGAAGCCTTTCCGTGGGTGCCCTGGGGTCCAGAAAGCAATGGGAGTCGGTTCTGCTACCTCACCGACAACCACACCTCCGTGGTGGGCATGAGGAAGGTGGCTGCAACCATGAATGTCCCATCCACCCCGGTCAGACCAGAGGACATGTGCTTGGTGGAGGAACGGGGTGCTGTGCCCCATGACACTGACTGTCAACTTCCTCATCTCTTCTGTTACCCTGCTCAGAGTAACTTTTCTGGAATCAGATACCCCTTGTCCTGGGTAAGAGATGTCCAGTCTGGGCAGATGAACCCTGTGAGCACACCTGGGAAGTGGTTTGTGCTGCTTGATGCAGCCTCCTATGTGAGCACCTCACCTTTGGATTTATCGGTGCACCAGGCAGACTTTGTCCCCATCTCCTTTTATAAGATCTTCGGATTTCCCACTGGCCTGGGTGCTCTGCTGGTCAATAACCGTGTGGTCCCTCTACTCAGGAAAGGCTACTTTGGAGGAGGGACTGCTTCTGCCTACCTTGCAGGAGAGGACTTCTACATCCCGAGGCCATCAGTGGCTGAAAGGTAACCTGGGCGTGGGGGGGTGGCTGGTGGAGTTCGTCAAGGCAGGTCCAGCATGCACAGCCTATGAGATTGTGCACAGGGGAGGTCTGGGCCATAGGGTCAGGGGAGCTGGACATTGCTGGTAGGTACAGGGTGGAAGCAAAGCTCAGACCCAGGAGGCAGAGGTAAGCTGGAGGGTGCCATGAGCAACTCCGTGAACTCTGTCCTCCTTGTGTGGGCTTCTTTTTAGTGGTGGAGGAGCAGCCTGCTGATAAGAGCAGCAAGCAAGAAAGGCCAGGCATTGCCTATAATCCCAACTACTCAGGAGGTGGAGGTAGGAGGACCGTGGTCCAAGGCTGAGCAAAGTTAGTGTGAGACCTTATCTGAAAACAAAATGAAAGCAAAAGGACTAGGGGCATGGTACAACTGGTAGGGCACTTGCCCAGCAAGTGTGAGGCCCTGAGTTCAATCCCTAGCACTGCAAAAAACAAAAAAACTGGAGGCTGCCACTTGCCTCATTGTCCCTCCACACTTTATTGCCTGGGCCTCTTCCTCAGGCTGCAGTGTGGGTTATGCTGAGAAACCTTGAAATGGTGATGGCAGGACCTATAAGGTCAAGTGTGAGAGGGGTAAAATCAGACACCAAGCCAGAGGTCTGCTGAGTCCAGCCATGCAGGATGGCATGGGGTTGGTTGGGAACTAATCACCACCTTGTAGCCTGATGGGAAGGTGACTGAGGTCCTTAGACCCAGGTGCAGACTCGGCTGTGCCCCAGCAGTAGAGTCAGCAAGAGTCTAGGGTTGGCCCACTGGGAGTGGATCCACCGCCTCTGCACTGCAGCTGGGAGCTGATGGCCTGATCTCTCTGCACCTGGTGTTTATTCTGTAAACTGGTAGAGCTAATGCAGGTAAAGCACCATTCAGAGTGAGCATTAACTATGAGGCTATCTGAAGACTCTTCATTTAAGAAGGACTTCTCCATAGTTGGGGAATTTTAAAACAGGAACGTGAATGGAAACCTTTTGAATCTAAGTGTGACAATTTACTGTGTCGCAAAGCCAAGTGTGAAAAGAATCACAGGCACAACATAATGCAAACTAAGGGCAGAACAAAGAGACATCACAAACTTAATTGGTCTCTAAGAGGATCTAAAGGCCAGAGAAGGGCTGGTGGAGTGGCTCCAGTGGTAGAGCACCTGCCTAGCAAGTGTGAAGACCTGAGTTCAAACCCCAGTACCACCAAAAAAAAAAAAAAAAATAAAGCCAGAAAAAGTGGGTAGCTGACTGGGGGAAGGACACATGGGGCTCGGTGGGGCCAGACCTCTTTTCTTTTTGTGTGGGGAGGGGTTTTAAGAATATTTTATTCATAAAGAAACTGTCAAAATATCCCTATTTGCAGACGACATGATCCTATACCTTAAAGACCCAAAAAACTCTACTCAGAAGCTTCTAGACATCATCAATAGCTATAGCAAAGTAGCAGGATATAAAATCAACATAGAAAAATCATTAGCATTTCTATACACTAACAATGAGCAAACGGAAAAAGAATGTATGAAAACAATTCCATTTACAATAGCCTCAAAAAAAATCAAATACCTAGGTGCAAACCTAACAAAAGATGTGAAAGACCTCTACAAGGAAAACTATACACTTCTGAAGAAAGAGATTGAGGAAGACTATAGAAAGTGGAGAGATCTCCCATGCTCATGGATTGGTAGAATCAACATAGTAAAAATGTCTATACTCCCAAAAGTAATCTACATGTTTAATGCAATTCCCATCAAAATTCCAATGACATTCATCAAAGAGATTGAAAAATCTACTGTTAAATTTATATGGAAAAACAAGAGGCCACGAATAGCCAAGGCAATACTCAGTCAAAAGAACAATGCAGGAGGTATTACAATACCTGACTTCAAACTATATTACAAAGCAATAACAATAAAAACAGCATGGTACTGGCACAAAAACAGACATGAAGACCAGTGGAACAGAATAGAGGATCCAGATATGAAGCCACACAACTATGAGCAACTTATCTTTGACAAAGGAGCTAAAAATATACGATGGAGAAATAGCAGCCTCTTCAACAAAAACTGCTGGGAAAACTGGTTAGCAGTCTGCAAAAAACTGAAACTAGATCCATGTATATCACCCTATACCAAGATTAACTCAAAATGGATCAAGGATCTTAATATCAGACCCCAAACTCTTAAGTTGATACAAGAAAGAGTAGGAAATACTCTGGAGTTAGTAGGTATAGGTAAGAACTTTCTCAATGAAACCCCAGCAGCACAGCAACTAAGACATAGCATAGATAAATGGGACCTCATAAAACTAAAAAGCTTCTGTTCATCAAAAGAAATGGTCTCTAAACTGAAGAGAACACCCACAGAGTGGGAGAAAATATTTGCCAACTATACATCAGACAAAGGACTGATAACCAGAATATACAGGGAACTTAAAAAACTAAATTCTCCCAAAACTAATGAACCAATAAAGAAATGGGCAAGTGAACTAAACAGAACTTTCTCAAAAGAAGAAATTCAAATGGCCAGAAAACACATGAAAAAATGCTCACCATCTCTAGCAATAAAGGAAATGCAAATTAAAACCACGCTAAGATTCCACCTCACCCCTGTTAGAATAGCCATCATCAGCAACACCACCAACAACAGGTGTTGGCGAGGATGCGGGGAAAAAGGAACCCTCTTACACTGTTGGTGGGAATGTAACTAGTACAACCACTCTGGAAAAAAATTTGGAGGCTACTTAAAAAGCTGGACATCGATCTACCATTTGATCCAGCAATACCACTCTTGGGGATATACCCAAAAGACTGTTACTCCAGAGGCACCTGCACATCCATGTTTATTGCGGCACTATTCACAATAGCCAAGTTATGGAAACAGCCAAGATGCCCCACACTGACGAATGGATTAAGAAAATGTGGTATCTATACACAATGGAATTTTATGCAGCCATGAAGAAGAACGAAATGTTATCATTCGCTGGTAAATGGATGGAATTGGAGAACATCATTCTGAGTGAGGTTAGCCTGGCCAAAAGACCAAAAATCGTATGTTCTCCCTCATATGTGGACATTAGATCAAGGGCAAACACAACAAGGGATTGGACTATGAGCACATGATAAAAGCGAGAGCACACAAGGGAGGGGTGAGGATAGGTAAGACACCTAAAAAACTAGCTAGCATTTGTTGCCCTTAACGCAGAGAAACTAAAGCAGATACCTTAAAGCAACTGAGGCCAATAGGAAAAGGGGAACAGGTACTAGAGAAAAGGTTAGATCAAAAAGAATGAACCTAGAAGGTAACACCCACGCACAGGAAATCAATGTGAGTCAATGCCCTGTATAGCTATCCTTATCTCAACCAGCAAAAACCCTTGTCCCTTCCTATTATTGCTTATACTCTCTCTACAACAAAATTAGAAATAAGGGCAAAAGAGTTTCGGCTGGGTATTGAGGGGGGGGAGAGAGGGAGGGGGCGGAGTGGGTGGTAAGGGAAGGGGGTGGGGGCAGGGGGGAGAAATGAACCCAGCCTTGTATGCACATATGAATAATAAAAGAAAAATGAAAAAAAAAGAATATTCAGAAATAAAGTGGTAGGCATTTCATGGGAAATAGATGTTATATTTATGAACACACATAGGAAGGAAAATAGATCATTTTTAGCAGACCTCTTTTCTTTGATTTGGGTGGATTGCTTTATAGCATGCATAATATCAAGATGGCCAGAGGGCAGAATATATTATTTATCTTATAAGCTTAACTTTTTTCTTATGAATTCCAGACTAGAACTCAAAGACATATTAATCAATCCAAATGTTTATTTTTACCTTGACTATGCTCTTCACTTTCTGCATGTTATAATTCAATGAAATATAGCCCTTGTAAGAAAGAAAATAAACTCTTTTTTATTCTAAAAAAGAACATATTATTAATTAGCAAATAATTATTACTGATCCAGTAACTTATTATTAGCTAATAACATTAAGTTTACTATTATTTACTAATTCATTACTGATTAATTAACAGTTGGTTCATTATGAGTTATGTAAGTCTGTTACCACTAATTTTATAAGGAAATCAATGTTGTAATAATTTTTTTGGGGGGTGGGACTGGGGTTTGAACTCAGGGCTTGGTGTTGGCGAGGATGCGGGAAAAAGGAACCCTCTTACACTGTTGGTGGGAATGTAGACTAGTACAACCACTCTGGAAAAAAATCTGGAGGCTACTTAAAAAGCTGGACATCGATCTACCATTTGATCCAGCAATACCACTCTTGGGGATATACCCAAAAGACTGTTACTCCAGAGGCACCTGCACATCCATGTTTATTGCGGCACTATTCACAATAGCCAAGTTATGGAAACAGCCAAGATGCCCCACCACTGAAAAATGGATTAAGAAAATGTGGTATCTATACACAATGGAATTTTATGCAGCCATGAAGAAGAACGAAATGTTATCATTCGCTGGTAAATGGATGGAATTGGAGAACATCATTCTGAGTGAGGTTAGCCTGGCTCAAAAGACCAAAAATCGTATGTTCTCCCTCATATGTGGACATTAGATCAAGGGCAAACACAACAAGGGGATTGGACTATGAGCACATGATAAAAGCGAGAGCACACAAGGGAGGGGTGAGGATAGGTAAGACACCTAAAAAACTAGCTAGCATTTGTTGCCCTTAACGCAGAGAAACTAAAGCAGATACCTTAAAGCAACTGAGGCCAATAGGAAAAGGGGAACAGGTACTAGAGAAAAGGTTAGATCAAAAAGAATTAACCTAGAAGGTAACACCCACGCACAGGAAATCAATGTGAGTCAATGCCCTGTATAGCTATCCTTATCTCAACCAGCAAAAACCCTTGTCCCTTCCTATTATTGCTTATACTCTCTCTACAACAAAATTAGAAATAAGGGCAAAAGAGTTTCTGCTGGGTATTGAGGGGGGGGGGAGAGGGAGGGGGCG